GAGCTTCCCTCACATGAGTACAATCTAAAGCTGCTCTCCCACAGACAAATCCCCTTCTGAGGAAGTCATGACTTGTTTACTCTGACCTGTGCAAAAGCCTCTCAGCAGGGCTCCAGCAGTGTTCTGGGAAGCCAATTCTCCCTGAACAGAGTGCAATCATTTCTTGGACTGTTAAGAACTCCACCTAGAAAGTATTTCTGCTTTATATAACCTCTTTAGGTTAGAACCTGATAGAATTTTGGAGGGCATTTGCACTTTCCTATTTAGAATTACACAAGTGGTTGACTAAGATGTTGGGAATGAAGTAGAAAACCAAACCTCTTGAGATGTGACTCTGCACTCTGGTTTCTCTGGCAGAACACTACCAGTGCCTAGGGGAATCTGGGTGCTGAGAACCCAATTGGCAGGCACTTGGCCTGAAGAATTGGTCTTGCTTTGTTTGAGATTAGCAAAATCCCTTTTAAGTCCTGCTTACAAAACCAGGCTATCAGTAGAGTACAAGTTTTACACAGACAATCCTTCCTATGAGGCACAACTCTTAGATCACCATATTCCCTGCACCTTCACAAAGCATCAGCTGTGATTTCAGAAAGTCATGTTGCTTTAGGCCATCACAGCTAGCTTCCCTTTCTGTGCATTTCAATATTTCAAGCAAATGAAGAAATTTTAAGCGATTCCAAGAAGTAAATTCAAGCAGCAAATGGCCTGCAAAAGAGACCATGAAGGTGTGAGCAGGGCTCCCTCTGTAGCCTGAGATCACTGATCAGATGGTTGGTTGTAACAGAAGAAGTTTCCACAGGGGACAGCTAGAAGGACATACAATCCCAACAGACCAGAGGAAGATACTGCATCCATATCAGGACGGCACTTTGCTCACCATTGGCTAGAAGATAACGTACAAGCTCCTCGTGTCCACACAGACAGGCGTAATACCTGACAATAACAATAGAAAGAAAATTAGAGATGCTGTAGGAAGCAAAATTCAGAGTTTTGGCACATCATCACACACAGATCACAGCACTGAGCACCCCTGAGAAGCTTGAGAGATGATTCCTGATAGGAGTAAGGAATTGCTACCAAATAGCACAGAAGCCTGATCCCAGCAACAGACTAAGCAGGATCTGTTCGCAGCAACCCCAGGCACTGCAAGGAGATCTCAAGGTCCCAGTTTGGGTTCAGCATCTTCTGTTGCACCACCAGCTGCCAAATCCATCCTCATTTTAATGGAGATCATTTCATGAGCACTCAGCAGTTCAGTGAATTCTCAAAAACACTCTGCTCCTTCTGTTGTCAGGCTGACTGCTGCATGCTGTGCCAAGGAGGGAACAGCACCCACACTGGGTGTACAGAAAATCCACCCCCCGAAGTTCTACTACAATGAGTGTTGTTTTCACTTTCACAGTCTAAGCCTTTCATGATTCTCTTTCACAAGGACCTCAAATTGTCCTACAAATTAGGAGAATCTTGTAACATGCATTGCAGCAGCGAAATGTTAGTCTATCTTTACTTTGGGAAGTTATTCTGTACTCTAAATATAATGCAAACAAAGGTTTAAATGTCCTTTGGAATTGTGGGGAGGTAAACTCAGAGCACATCCCTCAGCACCCCCAGGGGGTTCCTCATGACCTACTGCCAGACAGACTGTGATCCCACTGTCACTTGGCATTTTACCAGGCCAAGCTTTCACCTGAAAAGACATGCTAGAATGCCATAGACTTTGGTGAGGGAAAAGCCTCATCCAGCCAAGAGCAGAGTGCTTAATCCAGGTAATTTGGCCACAAAAATCCACTTGTCAGCATCACTTCAGCAAGTCCCAGACAATTTGGGAGACAAAGACATTTAGCACAGCACCCACAGGGAAGAGAAGCAGAACTACATCGCCAAAGCTCCAAAAAAGCAGAACCTGAAACATTTTGTAACAGCGCTCATGGCTGCTGATGCAGAGAGAGTAAAGGAGCTCTGAGGCCCTACCCCCCGCCCAGCCAGTGCTCCAGGCTGCAGCACTCACAGGGGTGTACTGTCCCACTTATCACGGACATTGATTTCCACATCTCGCTGCTCAAGAAGGTATCTGCAAAAAAAGGGAGAGAGCAAAGTTATAACTTCATGCAGCTACTCACTCAGTCACATTCTCCTCTTTCAGAAAATGTAACTTCAAGTTCATAGAGTAACTTCCAAATGTATGACAGGATCTTGCACTGGACTTGGGGAACTGTCAGCTGTGGCTGAAGGGGTATCAGCCAATGTTCAACCCAAAGAATGGTGTTCTACAGCATGGTCTGGCAGCTGTCTTCAATTTTAAGTGGTACACATGGGGAAAGAGGGTGATCAAATGCATCTCCAACAGGGCAGCAATCTAAAAAGAAGCCTGAGTACTTCTCCAGCACCTTCACATTCCACAGCAATGCTCCCAGCCTAGATGCTTACAAATATGTGGCCAATTTTATGAAGCCAAGGCTGGACTCTCCTCCTTCTCTTGGCTTTTCCTGACAAAAGCAATAACATCAGTGGCACTCCAGACTGCTCTTAAATCCTGCCACTTCCTTGTCCTGCATGTTTAGGCTGGATCCACTGCTGCCAACACTCCCTCTCTTACACCTCTAGAAACCAGACTTTGCCTTGCAGAACAATCTCCTGCACAGCCTGGCTCTTCTTAGAGCCTGTACTGCAAGAGCCACATGTAAAAGTCCCTCTCAGCCTTCACAAAGACTCTTGAGTTTTGCTTTTTTATCACTCACCACATGAGTCCTCTCTTTCACTCCCTTCACCCTTGTTGTCTCAAACTTCAGGTTCCTCTGAACACATTCAACACACCAAGCAATTCAGCCCCTTCTGCTCAGTCCCATGTGGTCAATTTGTCCCCCTACCCTGACAGCACTCTCAGACTCTCATTTCTCCACCACTACTTTTATACAAGTCATCTTACACCTCTATAAGACCATCTCTCAGACCCCTCCTTCTGCAGTAAACCTGGAATTTACTGCTTCCAATGATTTAATCTAACACAATCACAACAGATAACAATGTTCTCCAAACCTTATCTATCTGCAAACTTACCCTTCACTAGCAAGCACCTTGAAACAGAGATTGTTTTGATTATCTAGCATATCACACATCAGGAGATGGAAGAATCAAATAGGATAAAGGGGTGAAGAACAGTTTTAGATTCAAACCATGAGATGCAGGAAAAAAGCATGTTGTAAAGTCTGAACCTTACATTCACCCTGCAGACAAGCCCATCTGCCTCCTGATCCGAAATCACTGCAGTTAAGCTGTGCTGCTTTGAGATGAGCGAGGAAACTTGACCTGAAATTTCAGTATCCCATATTTCTCAGACACACTCCCGCAGTCTACAGCACGAAGCGTCTAAACATTTCCATGACGATTGCGTCCCAGGGATCCAGCTTCCTACCAACGCAAATACCATTTCCAACGGGAAAGAACAGCAGCTGGAGAGGAGCCTTGTGCAAGGACACTTCCACCAGCAGCATCCACACCCAGGGGCACGCAGTGACCGTGCGACACCCAGACACCTGCCGGAACCGGGCACACCTCACCCCACCCTAACCCCGGCAAAGCCCCGCTGCACACCCAGCTCCTCGGGGGGCAAACAAGCGGCATTTCTGTGCTAGAAACAAACTGTGACAGCCGCTCCGGGGAGGCCTGGGTCGAGCTTCAGGTGAACACGCCCCGACAGGCCGGGCCCCGCTCGCTCCGGTGACCGGGGCGGTTAAAGCAGCGGCGGGTGCGAGGGACCCGCTCCCCGGCCCGGCTCACCGCACGCGGCTCACGTCGCCCTTCTTGCAGCTGGTGAACAAGTCGCTGGTGTCCATGGCCGGGACAGGCCGCGGGGCGGCGGCGCCGCATTGACGCGAAGAACGGAAAAGCGGCCGCGGAGCCGGGCCGGGCCGAGGGACAGCGGCGGCGGGGCGGGCACGGCGGGCGCTGTAAACACGGCAGCGGCTCCGCCCGCCCGGCCCAGCGCCAGCCCTCCCGCAGCGCCCCCTGCGGCCCGGAGGAACAACGGCCGGCCGCGCTGCGTGCGTACCCGCGGGCCGGAGCTCGGGGAAGGGAACCGGCCCTGAACAGACCGGGCTGGAACCGGGGCTCGGGAAAAGGGAACCGGCCATGAACAAACCGGGAAACTGGGCTGGAACCGGGGCTCGGGGAAAGGGAACCGGGCCTGAATAAACCGGGGGAAGCAGGCTGGAACACACCTGAGGAGGGAGCTGGCCCAGAACGTGGTTGGGATGGGGTCTGGAACATGTGGCAGGGCTCTCTCTCTGTGCTCCATGACTTGCGACAAGAGGGGTCTCATTAATCCATTCAAAGATAGCTGCCAAGAGGATGGTGCCAGACTCTTTTTGGTGGTGCCCAGCAAAAGGACAAGGAGCAAAGGCCATAAATCAAAACTCAAGAAGTTCCACCTCAACATGGTAAAAAATTTCTTTAGATTGAGGGTGGCAGAGCCCTGGAACAGCTGCCCAGGGAGGGTGTGGAGTCTCAGGAGACATTCAGGTCCCACCTGGACATGTTCCTGTGTCACCTGCTCTAGGTGACCCAGCCTTGGCAGGGGCTGGGCTGGGTCATCTCCAGAGGTCCCTTCCAGCCCTGATAATTGTGTGATTCTGTGGGGGTCCAGGTGTGGAGCAGGTGTGGGATGGTGGAGAGCTGGGTGGGACACACGTGGCACAGGGCACACAGGCAGGACTCTGCTGTGGAACACAGGCTGGTGTTAAGCCACTTTAGCATGAAAGGCGTCCTGGACTGGTCCTGTGGGTACTGGAGGGGAAGAATACTCCATGGGGGAAGCCTGTTTCCACAGCCTGGGCACCTGGCAAGGCTCAGGGCTTCCACAGGAATCTGTGAATTAAGGAGTGTACTGTGGGTAAGGGAGGTCAGGCTGACCCCCATCCTGGCAGAGAAACCCTGGCCAGTTTCATTATGAGATGCAGACATGAATTCAGGCAGATCTAACCAAGCAAAGCACTGCACTCAGGTCAGTGTTCAGACACCCAGAAGGTGTGTTTTATTGCAAAGAAAACAAAACCACAACCCTGCTATTTCCAGGGCCAGACACAAGTGTTTCTAAGTGTTCTCCGCAGCAATCCTGAGCAGCTGCCAGGGCTTGCAGTTTGTGTCCAGCAGGAATGAAGGTGTTGAGAACGGCTCAAAGCCTGGCTGTCAGCTTAGATGGGCCCATGAGGCTCTCATGAGCCAGCACAGATGAAGGTGCTTGTTGTGTCTGACTGTTGGAGCTGTCCCAAACCTGCTGAGAAGGACAGATGTGCTCCTGCATGGCTGCAAAGGCAGATGGGAACAGACAAGTTGCTGATGGCAGTGGCTGCAGTGGGACCCTGCTGCAATGCTCTAAGGTAATGCTGCAATAGTCCTTAGGATAATGTTCCTTCATTTCACACCATATCCTCTGCCAGAGGGATCCTTAAAGTGTCTCTTGAACTGTATCCTCAAGCTGCATTACATCCTTCACAGCACAATTACTGGGTCACTCCTCATTGTTTCTTTCCACTCTACACACCCCAAGGCGGTGTGCAGGGTGCAGAGTCCCAGGAGATGTTAGACTCCATGTTACAGGCACAGTTCCAGATCTCTGAGTGACACCTTGGAGTAATCTGCAGCTTGGCCATCCCAGATCCCACCTGGCTGTGATCCTCCAGAGATGGAGAGCCTCTCTGTTCTTGGCCGTGCATCCAGACGATGCTATTGCCAGTGCTCCCCGAGGCACTGCACTCCTCACAACAGCACCCGATGCTCTCTCTGAAGAACCACCTCTATTCCAGGGCAGAGTCTCTGCATTCTAGCTGTGGTCCCAAGGAGCAGAGGGAGCAAGTGGCACACAAAGCAGGAAGATGGAGCTGAGACCCTGTGTTGCTACCCAGGGCCTCTATACTGGTGACTCCAAGGAATGTCCCATCTCACTACTTTGCAGACAAGGATGTCCTCACACAAACCATCCTTGACATGCCCGGTACAAGCCTCTCTGCTCACAGTCGAGTCCTGCAGCCCCTCGTGAATAAAGCAGGTTATCCTAGGCAAGTCACAGGAAACAAATACCCAAAGCTAAGAGAAAAGTTCTCTTCTTTTTTCTTTTTTTTTTTTTTTTTAAGTTTTCGTTTCCAATCCCAACCGCCACCAGGTGTCAGTGTGACCAAGCATTTGGTAGATGGAATTATGGTGATGTCTGAATAAGTTTTCCAGGAATTGCTTTGTCTCCTCCATCTGCTCTGTCACCTGGCACACTGCTCTGAGAAGTCCAGCTTTCACAGTTTTTATTAAAAAGAAGTTTAACTACATTAGGGTGATAGAAAAGCTTCCTGTTACAAATGCTAAGACAAAGGTTTTCTTCCTCTTTACATCCTCCCTGTGCAGAGCTGGAAATGCAAGCACTGGACAGAGTTAAGTGGGCTACCGAGAGCCTCTCTACAGTGCTTCCCAGCCTGCAGGTCCCCAGAGATGACCCATCTCTGCAGGGCTGGCAGGAGAGGGACAACAGTGCAATCGACTTGACAAGATCAGCCTAGTGCAAAAAATGATACAGAGAAAAAACAAACTGTAAGAGGATAAAAAGTACCACCAGACTAAAGTGAAATTCTACCAACCAGTAGATTTCTGAAGCTAAACTGGGATCATACAGCCAGGTGCACCCTGTAAGAGACAGCAGAAAAATGTCCTCAGCCTCAACAGCCACCCTTAAAGTGTCTCTCAGATTACCTGGATACTCCAGACAGAGAAGAGCATCTCTGGAAAATCCTCCAGGCCATGAGAGGCCAAAAGAGAAATTAGGAGAACTTGCTAGCTGATTATTAAACCCACATAACCCCTTGGTTTCTTTAAAGTTTGAAGACTTTACACGAGATTGGGAGGTGCTGAGCCCAGCCAGAAGCATTGCTTTATCAGTGCCTTGTTGTTTCTCTGAATTAGGATAGTGGAGAGAAAACAGGGCAGCAAAGTAGCTCTTAGCAGGGATATGCACCAAGGAAGCCATTTGTGGGTGAAATGATTCACATCTGATTGGTGGCATTATCTTTTTAACAGCCACTGGGCATTCAAAACATATTTGAGGAGGATTATTGGACTTGGAAAGACTTACACGGTGCAGCTGCCTAAAGGCCACGGGCATGCCAGGGCCCATTATGCTAAGTGCTATAAAACCTCAAATTTTAACTCCATGCTTTAATTTACTCACCATAACAACAACTTGCATTTAATCCTTTGAGCCCCAAAGTGCCTTCAACACAGCCAATGGACTTGTGCAGTTTTACTGCACAGACCCATCAAACTCAGCAGGAGCCACCCAGGAAGGGGTGGTCAGACAGGGCCATGTATGGCTGTCTGCATCCATGGACTGTCCCCCACTACCAACTGCTGGGGCAGGAGAAGGAACTCTGAGCATCTCTGCAACCCTACCAAGGTACAAAAAGAGCTGATGATCACTGTGTGCTACAAAACACCAGGAATGGAGGCAGGCTAAAACCACTGAAAATTGGAATCTGGATAGGAAATCAAAGGTTATCACCTTTCTTGAATCCTTAATAAACTGGTATCAGAGTGGTCTGCCATCGAGGTGATCTGTGATGCAGTTTGCATGCAAAGCGCTACACAAACTGCAACAACAGACTCTGGCACCTTGACTTGAGGCACACCCACCGGGGGAACATGCTAGAGGTCTCTATACCTACAGTGACAGATTTACAGGCTGCACATCTGGGGCCTCTGTGTACAAAGGTTCCCTTCAAGACCAAGTGTGAAGCTGCATCTCGCAGGAAGCAAGCATGCAGATCACCACCACTAGGGAGAGAAGTTCTGCCTCTGACCGAAGCAAGTCCCTCAGTCCCTCACTGACAGAAGAAACAAATGTTCTGGGATTTCAGGCTTGACAGTAGTTTAGGCAGGGCTCAGAGAACAGTTACACACATTCACGTGCCTTCAGCACACATCTTCAGGGAGCTGGAGCCTCAAAGTTGCCTGAGGCATGCCTGAGAAACATCCATTGGGGAGCTCTTACATCCGATTCCCATCTCATCAGAACTGGTTCTTACATTGTTTAAATGCAGTGATTTTAAAGATGTTACCCCAATTTATACCTGTGGGGTATTAAACATTTCCACCCTTCCCTCAGGGCAAGATGCTGAAATTGAAACAAAAGGATGAGAACATTACTTGTTTCCCTATTTTAAAAGTTTCACATAGTCTTTATATTTACTGCAAAATGACCAACTGAAATGAAACTAACCTGTGAAATAGAACTCGAGTGGAAAAGGCCAGTCAGTTTAAACTTACACAAGACAAGGGATATTTTCCTGCTGATTTCCCAGGCTATTGTGAAAGAGGCATGTAAACACCATTTTTGAGCAACGCTCCAACCTAAAGCACATTTTCATCTAAAATGCTGCACCATGGCACTGAATTCTCTGCAATTGGTCAAGCAAGGGTAAAGTGCTCAAACTTTGCAAGCTCAGCTTGGAGTTGTGGAGCTGAAAAAAGGAGTGGGGCTGTTAGTGGTACCAGGGGTGAAATGAGATGACAGCAGGGAGTGGTGGGAGGGGTATTTTCCCCAAATGTAAACATCAGCTCTCATACAATTAGTAGCTGAATGCTAGAGCACTAAAAAACCTGTTTTTCACATGGGGAATGTAAACTCTGCCCAGAACATTGACAGAATCTTGGCTCCCCTCCATCCAGAATGCACAGGTTTTACTGCACCTGCATGGACTGAATGTGGTCTCAAGGTCAGTATTTGGAAAGTGAATTTACTCCCCAAATCTGGACTCTTGGTGGCAGGCAGCCCCACCAGCTTGTTTCTCCAATCCAGACAGTCTCAGCCACTACCACAGAGCTACAGTAAGTGCATTTAAAGGTGATGAAAGCATTGGTGCTACTGATAGGAACACACACACACAGATCTATAAACCCACCCCTCCCGCTTCCCTCTGTTCCGTGATCCTCCTGGCTCCAAGCCTCAGATGCAGGCTCAGGACTTCCATAGGGAAAACTTGCCCAAAGACACGTTCAAAGGTTTTATGAAGTTCCTGAGAAGCCACCTGATCCCATGGTCCATCAGTCAAGATAGGAGAAAAACAAGTGTGTTTAAGAGGGTGGTTCCCTCCTTTCTTTTTCTAAAGATGCGTGTCTTCCTCAAACACATCCACATCCTCGCTGGCCTGCTTATTGATCAGGACATCCCAGCTGTCGGGGCCATTGATGGTGTTCCCCCCGTTCACGCTCGGCTTCTTCTCCTGCATTTCCGACTGGCTGTCACTGGCCACGTCCAGGGTGGGGTTGTCATGGCAGCCGTTCTCAACAAAGCGCAGCTCCTCACCGTGGGACTGCCGGGGACAAGAGGACACAAACGGAGACAAAGGGGGACAGCTCTTAATGCTGCTGAGAAGCACAATCAGACCAGGCTATGAGGGTCACTGAGACCTTTGAGGAGTCAATGGGAAGAAGTGGATTTATTCCCAGCCCAACCCTCGGAGTGGAAATGAGCTGTCCTAAGCACATTTGCATCTCTCTTACACCTGAATGAACTCCACTGCTGCTCCAGCAGTGTATCCAGCCACATCCCATAATTGGACAGGGGAAAACAACTGCTCTCTTAACTTTCCAATCTCCTCCATCCCAAGGCTAAGAGTCTGGCCACCTTCTCCACCCATCCCGTGCTCACCATGTTCTTCATCTTGGGCAGGCGTCTCTGCCAGCAGTTGTAGATGAGCCCCAGGACGATGATGATGGCACAGATGGAGCCGATGATCACCAACACCACAAAGAGCTTCCCATAATCACTGCGCGTCTGGTTAGGGTGCGACTGGCAGCTCGTGGTGGTCGAGTAGTTCTGGATACCAATCTGGAAGGAAGGAAGGAAGCAGTACACTAAAAGTCCTGACCTGCAGGCAGATAGAATCCTGTTCAGACTTTCCAGGGTCCAAGTACAGGACCATGAATGTGGGCAGAGGAACTAAAACCAGGGTTGGAGACTCAGGTTGTACACAGTCTTACATTACTAGAAAGCTCATAACTATACATAACACTATTTTCCATGAAAGCTGATGCATCAGCAAATGGGGCAGTAGGCACAGTTTCATTTTGCTCACATGCACAAGGATATCACACCTTTGTGTAGGAGGCTTTCAAAGGAGAAACTGTCCAAAATTGAGAGTCTCCAAAACAAACTAGAGACCACTGACGTGTGCTGAGGCTTTGGTAACTGCTTGGCAGAGAATGTAACACTAATAAATAAGTTTCCAGTAAAGCTCAGGTCCTAAGAGGGCATAGTGGTCTTTACAAGGTCTTGAAAGCTGCCCGCTGAGTCTAAAAGCTTAGGAATAGCTGCCCTAGAAACTGGCCCCCTGTGGCTGTCAGCAAACAGCCCAGGATGGTCCCAGAGACTTGGCAGATTTGAAACAGGTTATGTATCAATTCAGTAGTAAATGTGACAGGTAAGAGAATATCCTCCCTCCTCCTTGCAATCTCATGTTGGTGCAAGGGCAGCACTGTGAACAGGTTCATTACTGACAGAGCCAGAGAGGCAGAGACATGGGGCAAGGAGGCTCTGGTAGAACTCACATTAACACAGGGCCACAGTTGCAAAGTCAAACCTTGCATCCACACAAATCCTTCTTTCTGGACAGCTCTAGCTGCTGATACTTCAGTCACACAATTTCTACAGGGTTTGCTTTTTGCACTTTCTCTGGTGTAAGCCAATCAATACACCACTGAGCAGTTAATTTGCTTTGTCTAACTGCACCACTTTGTTAGGTCAGGGAAAAACCTGAGAGCAGACAGCCAGCAAGACAGTGGCTCAATCCTGCTGCTAAATTCAGCAAAATTAATCCAGTGGCTGGCACAAAAAAACTCAAGCAAAATCAGGTCCTCAGTGCCTACATACCCTGTAGGACAAAGGGGCAAAGCCAGAGATTGTGGGACTGATTTGTCCTCATCTCTATCCTCTTCCAAGCTGCCCAGGGTTAGAAGGAAATATCTGAGGCCTAGAGGGAGATGGCAGAGGAGTCTGGCATCCACTGACCCAGGTCCTCTGCCTGTCCTTGTGGAGGCAGTTGTTTCAGGAGTGAAATGCAGACTCTGGAATTGTAGAAGGTGTGTATGCATGTCAAGAGAAGCCAATGTGTGTAAAACAACTGGAGGGTGAGCAGGGCCAAATGTGAGGGCCTGCAGCACCCACACTGGTTTGGACAATGGTATGGAAGGGGTGACACTGAGAATCCCAACAAAATGAATGTGTGAAAAGCAGTCTCACAACCAAGCCAGAAAAGCAGGGAGGGAATAACCCACAGTTACTCTCTTAAAAGGAGCAGAAATTTGATGGCCTGGCTACTACCAGGGGAGAGAAGAAGGGAGTTTGCCAAGCATCTGACTCATCTGTTTGCCTGCTCTGGGTTCAGCACTTGGTTAGACTGAGATATGCCCCCCTTTTTCAAGTTGCTTATTTTAATTGTATAACTGGTCTTAAACGGATGCAGGCAGACAGGCTCTTACCTCAGCTAAGCTCCTCTTAACATCCCCCAGTGCCATGAGAACATCTTTTGTAGGGATAACACCTGTAAAGTAGAGGAAGAGATCAGTGCTGCTCTCAGCTCAAGTTACTCAGTCAGATGTATTCATCAGTATAAAATCCCCAACAGGATGGAGGCAGGGAAACATACGGTTTTGTTCATTGGTGTTTTATGTCAGGAGGCTGAAAGAACACAGCATCACAGACAAGGGTACCTCCAAATACTCTTTAAAGGAGTAAAAAAAATCCAGGGATGAACTGATAGCAGAGCAACCTAGGTACCCTCCCCACCACCACAGAAGCTCTCAGGATCCGTGTCTGCTCTGGGAGCAAGCAGCAGCACTCAAAAAGTCATGGAGACAGCTTCACAAAGGTCATAGAGGCCATAATGTCAACATTAGAAACATCTGTCAGTAAGCAGGCAGGAAAAGGACCCTGTACCAAAATGGGAATAAAGACATGGTAAAATTCTAGTCCAGCCCATGTCACTGTCAGCTTTTGTTTCTTTGGGGATGAAGGAGGGCACTATGAGGACCATCCTAGTTCAGACAGGACTTGAGAATTGATAGGTTAGGAAGTGAACCAAGAGCAGGCTGTCATATCATACCATGATGGGGAGTACATAAGGAGAAACTTGACAGATGCTCAGGAAAAGGCAATCCAGGGAGCCAGCAAAGCTGAAGGCAATGTGCAGAAGTGCACAGTGCAGTGCTTTGTGCAAGCAGTGAGGGACAACCCAGAAGACAGATGTGAAGAAAGATGTCCTCAGTCCCTCTCCATCCCTCAGGTCCAGTGAACACTGAGAACTGGTGGGATTGAAATGGATTGGAAAGCAAAAGCTCCTTCCAACACGGCTTTGTACCTTCATTTGGGAGCCTCTTAAATACACTCCCCATCACAGGAAGGCTCTTTCTGCCAGCACTTACCCTGTTCCCCTGACAGTGTCATTAGCAAGTGCTTGTCATTCTCATTGGGTTTGCTCAGAGAGATGAGCCAGCGGTCCTGCAGCCCCTCTGCCTGCCTGGAGAAGGCATCCTCCACCAGTGCCAACAGCTGGGGACCCCTCTCCAACCGAAACTCCTCCTGCCACAGGAAAGGAACCTTGGTGAGTGCATGGTGGGGACAAGGCAGCTGTAGCACTGCAGGGCTGGTACAGCTGAGACCTCACACATGCCCAAAAACCAGCAGTGATAAACCTGGTGCAACACTCTGCTGCACAGTTCCTCAGGCTGGAGCCACAAACACCTCCTGATGCACCAACCTTCCTCCTCAGCTCCCATGGCTGCCAAATGCCCCACACCAGGCTCTCCTGGCACACAGGGATCCTGAAGCAACATGATGGTGTGAGAAGGAAGCAGCCAGGCTCCTGGCCACAGCCAGCGCTGGGTCAGGGGCTGCCGCTCAGCCTGACGTGCTCCAGCCATCCCTCAGCAGGCGCCTTTGCTGCTTTCTCACTCCTGTGTTTCTATTCTCATCTCCAGTTGCCATGCCAACCTGAAGGCCACACAGATGATTAATAAAATGGAGAGTTCTTGTTGCCATGGCAATTTGAAGCGCTCAGGGCAGGCACAGGCCTGTGCCAAAAATGGCCTAATTGGAGAAGACATCGATGACTGGAGCCTGAATCACAAGAGCCTGGCAGTGCCTCCTCTCATGAAATGATGGGTTTTGGTATGGGGAGGCAGGAGGAGCTGCATGAGGAAGCAGCACTGATGCAGCACCACAATGCTCAGCTGCAGCTGCAGCTCATGGTCCCACTGCCAGTCTGAGGCTCTCTTTTGGGGCATGCAGAGGAAAGGGGAGCAGCTGAGCCAGGAGCAGGAGGACAGAAGTGAGATGTTTCTGCTGATGGGGAAAGCAGAGGTTGCAGAGCACTGATCAATTCTCCACGGTGGAGAGGAGGGAGCAGTGAAGGAGCCTGAATGCACCTGTGCCAAGGTAGAGGTCACTTCCCAATGCATAGCCGGGTACCACTGCTGGGTCAGATCCTGCAGTCCTCACTTGGGCAAACTTTCCAGGTATGTTGAGTGAGAGGTTTGCCCAGAGTGAGACTGAAGTGATTCTCTTACCTGAAGCCCACTGGGAAGACAAACATGCTTCCAGCCTAACCCAGAAATATAGATATGATTCCTGCAGCAGGTAAAAGCCTGATGCTATGAAGTGTATTGAAGCTCAAAGTGCAACCTTCTGGAAGGAGCTAAGCACACTCCTTGTCCCTCAGCTTTTCAGTGGGACTCAATACACACTAGATCATGGCACCAAAACATTGAAATATGTGAGGAATACCCACTCACACTAATTTAAACAACAGCACTTGCAACACAGGTTCTCCCTCAAAACCCCAGAAAACCAAACACCACAGAGTTCTGATACAGACACCAAAAAACAAAAGAGACAGGCAGACAGTAGGTGAGGTGCACAAAGTGAGCAAATTAGCAAGGGTAGGAAACAAACTGCATGAACTCCAGTGGAAAGATGAAGAGCTTGATTCCAGCTTCACTCATGCAAAGTGGTAATGGGAGGCAGGGAATGATGAGATGCTCATGTTAAATATGTATGTCGACAAATGTCCCTTTGAATAAGGGGTAGTACAGCACAAATCATTCACTGGGAAACATGTTTTGAAACATGAAATCAAGTAGAAAAACAGCTCAGTCCTGCCTATCCCAGGGCACCATCTTCCTCCAGCAAGGCAGAACTGAGGATTCAACAGCAAAGACATAATTTGATCAAGAGACATCTGCACATCTGCTTTTCAGTTCTTCCCCTTACAGAGGTTTAAACAACACAAGTGGCCACAGAAAGGAATTTACTACATATTACAAAATTAATTAGCATTTGAAGTCCACAGAGATGGGAGAGAGAGTGATGGGGGCATGAAGGAAACAGGGCAGAAGGACTCTGGTTTTCAAGGACTCCTTTTCTGCATTACAGTTGTGAACCATAGCAGAGATACTTAAAGCCCTCCACACTGGTTTGCCTAGCTTAGGAGGAAAAAGACTGACTTTTCATCTATTCTTAGAGCAATCGGCATGCTTTACTGTGTATAGGAATTTCCCCATTTTCCCTGTCCCCATAAAGGTCACCTTTAAAAAAAAGCAAAACAAACCAACCAAGAACTCACCAGTAGTGGCAAGAGGTCAGTGCCAGAGAACAACCCTGCAGTGACAGAGCCAGCTGTGCCCACAGCAGGAGCCCCACAAAGCAGGAGTGCAGATGCACGAGGCCAGAACACAATTCCTCAATGAAAACATTTCAGCCTCAGGTTGTCAGGCTTATAATAATTTCTTAGAATTATGAAAGGCACCTTGACCCCAGGCCTTTCACAACTGGTTTTTAAGTGCCTGATTAAATGCCCAGCAGAAGTGAACAAGCCCTTTTATCAGGGATTCACAACGGATTCTGGGGTCATGAATTAACTGCAGCTTTATGAGGATGGATGGACAGGCATTGGATTAGCAGAGCATGGCTGGTTAACAGACACAGATAACACACAAGATAATAGGGTTGGAAGAAGAGACCCTTAAGGAAGATTTAGTGATAACTGCTTGATACTTATCCATGCACAGTCCAAATGGGAGTCCCTATTCCTCTGAGCCATCAGAGGATTGTTACTATATGCTGGAAGGAATGGAAGGAAAAGGAAGAGAAGGAAGGAGAACTGCATTCAATCCTGTAAGAGGTGCAATGTTAAAAGTTCTCATGTCTCATGACAATCCAGGTACTGACTGGCACAGACTAGCAGCCAGAAGTTAGTAAAAAATCCAATATGGAACTGACATGTGCTAGACTTGGAGCAAAATCATCTCCCTCCACCCACTCTTTTTCCCTTTTGGAGAACAGAAATATTTCTGTCCTCCCCTTCTCTTCACAGCCTCTATATGTTGAGATTTAGTGCTTTTAAAATGTTTTGTGGTGAAAGCAGACAGGAGGAGCTGTGCCTGCCTTTACTTTCCCAAACACCATTGCCCCTGTGCCATGAAATCTGTCTGGACTGACTTACACAGTCAATGTTATCCGACATATTCAGGATGATGTAGTTCTTTCCTGCAAGGTTGCTCCAGTCTTTACAGATCACCTGGAGAGACAAGACAAAGACAGCTGGGTTCAGGTGTGAATGTAACTCTGCTGCTGAAAGCACAGGGTACACAAGGGACAGGAGCAGGGCACTGTGCCATACTCGCAGAAGCACTTCTCAAAGGATGTGACTGTCCTTTAACTCTCTGTTCTAAGGAGCAATCACCATTTCAGTGCTGACATAAAACAGGGACAAAGCTGCTCTGCCAGCTTGCCACAGCTCAGCTTGACCTTCCACTTCTATCTAGACTCAAGGAGGACACACGTTCTCAGTGGAAAACTCTCTAGCCTGCAGCCTTATCAGCACTTAACACAAAACCTAACCAGGAGCCTCTGTGGTCCTTAAACAAACTGGTGAGAGAGGGCAGCACTTTGCAGGCATGACAGGATGCACAGAGGGACTAAGTCACTTGCTCAGGCTCCTGAGTACCATGGGGCAGAAAGTACCAAGCAAAGCTTTTAATTTTGCTTTCTCACCAGTCAGCTCCTGCTACACATTTTCTCTTAACCAGCTGCCAGTTTGCTGGATTCAGGAACTGCAGTTCACCCCTCCTCTCCCACATCCTCACATTTAACTGTACTCTGCTCCACCCGCTCTGCATCTGGTCCCTGCAGGCAGCAGTAGTAAAAACAGCACTTTCTTCTCACTCCCCTTCCAGAAATCCTTGGGGACATGTTTGTCCTGACACTTCCAATAATGCAGGCTGAGGAAACAAGGAGCTTTCTCTGCTGTGCATGCCCCAGAAGAAAGGTGTTCAGCTTCTGTTTAAGAAGCAGAATTTTGTGCAGCTAGGAAGATGTGAGGGGCCAGGGATGATGGATACCCTTAAGAACTGCTGTGAATGACTCCCTGAAAATTCAGCTTTGACTGGGTGAACAGAAAAACATACTCCCAGCAGTCAGACTAAGGGACAGGCTTAAACACTCCCCAGGAGTGGGGACCCAAATATCCCCACTGCAACCTCCCAGCCCAGCCCCTGCTCCCAGTGCAACCTGTGCAGAGTCCCAGGGCAGCTCCGTGGGCAGCATGGCCATGCGGGCGTCCCCAGGCGGGGGTGACGAGCTCCTCCCTGCTGCTGCAGTCTCAGTGGCTGGCTCTGTGTCATTCCAAAGGGGATCCAGCTCAGGCTCATCAGCTCTGTCCCACAGAGACACAGAAGAGGGCTGCTGCTCACTACCAGGAGTAGTCTGGGTGCCTGGGGAGCTGCCTGCAGGAGAGGGTGTCCCCACAGGCGTTTCCACCGTTTGCTCCATTTCGGTCAGCACCGTGGGCTCCAGCATCTCCCACCCCACCGTGGGCTCTGACACCTCCTCCCTGGCTGAATGCTCTTCCCCACCAGCCTCCACTGTGGTCTCTGCAGGCTCTGCTCCTGTTGTAGCCACAGCCAGCTCTGAATCTGCTCCCCCAACAGCCCAAGTGTCTCCAGTTGTCACCTCAAGGAGTTCTTCTGAATCAATGGGAGATCTTGCAGCAACTGTAGTAGAAAAAGTAGAGGGCACAGGTAGGAGACCTGGTCCCATGCTGCTCCCAAGGTCTAAGCCTGGAGAAACAGAGTCCTCTTCTTGCCCTCCTATGGCTGCCTCAGTCACAACACCCGGCCTGGCAGAGGCTGTGGAAAACGGAAGGGAGAAGGAGTCCTCTTGGTCCACTGGTTCAGAAGATGTAAGCTCTGGCCCAGAGGTCTGGAGGCTCTCCATTCCTCCTCTTGAGTGGTCAATAGGGAGCAGCCCCTCCTCTTCCTCTAGTGTGGAGAAAGGAGTGTGTAAGTCAGGCTCCACAAATTCTGCTGGTGGCTGGACAGTGGCCATTTCCCAGTTGTCTGCTTGTGTCCCATTTTGTTTCGGCAATGCCTTCTGAGACGAAGCAGGAAAGGTATAATCTAAAAAGAGATCCAAAAAACTTCATGTTACATCTGAACTAAGAACTCTGAGAGGCAGAGAATATCCCATTATGTTTCCAGCCACAGCTGGGGGTCAAATGGCAGAGACCCTCCAAGGACAGGTAGCCTGCCACAGCAAAGAACCATCCCATCCAATACATGCACTTCTCCATCTACCTATCCCACCCCAGTAAACCCATATTCCCAAGGGATAATTTCCATCTTTGTTCTCTCCACACCTGTCTGTCCATAGGCACTTTCACTGACAATAAGTAACAGTTTTGACACCTGACATCTTTAAGTTGAGGTTATGAGTGTTATAATCAGCTAGAACCCACAGATTCATTTCAGATGGGACTGAGAAAGATATGGGGTGGTAGCAGCAGTCAGCCACAAGCTAAATGGGAAATACTACAGGAGAGAAACTAAAGCACCAGAAAACCAAATCCTCCTTCCTGGCACAAGTAATACCACCAAACTCTGAATCGACCTGGGCATATTTGAAATGCAGAATTTTAGTTTGTACAGCACTTCAGAGCAGAAAAGCCATCCTACAAACATCTGAATTAGTTTTACTTTGCTACAGCAGCTGAATCTAACTCCCCTCCCTCCAACTACAGCCCCTGTTATTCTGTGGCTCTGATCACGAATGGAAGTGTTGTTGCTAGACAAACACAGATGCTGAAGGAGATGCAGCTCACAAATATAAGGTCAGAGCAGGCTGGGGTTTCTTCTGGAAGCTAACAAGGAGCTGGGGACTCAGGAAAAGAAACTTATCTGTAAGTTCAGATATGTTTAGTTCAGGATGGCAGGCACAAATCCAGAAAGCATAAATCAACCTTCATCTTTCTTGAGAAACTGCTCATACCCACGGAGTTCTGTTTCAGGAGTCTGCATCCCAATTAACTCCCTTTCTCCCCAAGCCAAGCACAGCACATTCTCACTGAGAAGGGAAGGAAGACGATCCCTTCACAGCCAGAAATCAACCCCCTGCTCTGTCTATGGTTATTAAGTAAATGACTGTCTGAAATTCCCAAGGCTCCCGTCTCCTCTCCTGCCTGCCAAAGCAGATGCTCCACTGAGCACAGTGGGCAGCAGCTGTCTGGATGCCTTACAGAGATCTGCACAAAAAAACTCCACATATCCCTTGCTCGCTGCTGCCCAAGTGGGTGCAGGCTCCCAGGCAGAGAGGCCATGTCAGCATGCACTCCCACTGCCCTGGGCAACCCCTGGCAATCAGGACTGCCCTGCTACTCCTGCCCAACCCTCCTCAGCAGAAACCACACTGTTCCATCCGCCCCAGGCAGGAGGTGTAAAGATCCTCCTGTTCAGCTGGCCAGTGGCTTTCCTAACCCACAGCTCATTCCCTTCAAGGTGTCGGCAGCTCCTCCCAGATGTTGCCCAAAGATTAGTGTTACCCAGCTGCTGACCTTCAGAGCCATGGTGTGGAGACTGGCTCCCAGCTCTGACTGCAAAGAGGCCGCTGGGATTCACTGCCCAGGGCAGGCAGAATTCATGTTGCTTTGCTGCTGTGTCTCACTAGAGAGCGCCCTCCAGTTGACACCCCACCCAAAGACACTGAGGATTAAAAGACTTTTGCTTCCCAACAGCCAGCTGCTGATGCTTCCTCATAGGCCAAGGAGGCTGGCAAGAGCAATCAGCAGCAGCATAGACCAAAAAAACCCCATCTCTCCTCCACTGCCTGGCACTGATCTTCCCAACAGGTAACATCCCAGTGTCTGCAGACATGATCACTGCCTTGCTGGATGGACGGCAGGAACAGCCACAGGCCATGGGATTGAGGTGGTTTGGGTGGGACTGTCTCAGACAGATAGTAAAGCTTAGTGCAGCTCCCAGGGCTCTGCTGCTCCCTCTGCTGCAGGGATAACTCAGGGTTTGCACCAAGAGCCCCCTCTGCCCTGACATGCTGGGGGTGAAAAGTGAGGGGTTTGCCCTTCAAAACAAGGCCCTGTCAGGTATGATGTTGTTTTCAAGGATCAGTGATCCAATCTGCCATCTCCTTTGCCTAAAGACATTCTAAGATATTCTCAAGTCCTTTACACCTTTCTCTCTTCCGTGCTCTTCCTTCCACCTGGAGCAGAGCACGAACTGACAGGCAGATGGGCACGGCAAAATAACAAACCACGAAAAAGCAGCGTGAGGTTCATCCCACAGGAGCAGAAATGCTCCCAGCCTGTCAGCTCTCCTTTGCAGTCACACACTCAACCTTTCCTTGGAGTGCTCTGCCACAGATTCATTGGCTCCCATGGGGGAAAGCCCCGCATGGTGCAGCTGTGCTGCCTTTCCACCAACAAGATCTAAAGATCTCAGAGGAACTGCTGCCTCTGCCATCTCTTCTGGGCAAAGAAAGTTTAGCACCCATCCCACTCTCTCCCAGCAGATTTCTATCTTACAAAGCAGCCAAAGATTGAAACCTGAGCTGCTTCTCTAGGCCAACAAATCAACAGGGTAGAAGCAGACACAGGAATCCTCACACTTGCTACCAACTGGCTTAACATTCCCACTTGTCATCAGTTTCCCCACTACCCTGCATGTTAAGCTGGGAACATCCTTCTGTCTGGTCTTAAGACCCCACTCATTAGAAGCTCAACTCCTCTCAAATGCTGAAAAGGCTATTTCTCAGATTCAAGTAGGGAACAGTGAAACTTGCACAGGGGTGCTGGATTGTGCTCCTTAAAACAAGAATCTCTCCATATAACCCCATTACCAAAGGGGTTCATCCCTTTCCTAGTTTAGGAAGGACCACAGAATTATCAAGGTTGGAAGAGACCTTCAAGATCTAGTCCAACCATCAACCCAGCAGCACTATTATCATCCCTAAACCATATCCCCAAGTGCCACATCCAGATGCCAACTATGATGAGTCAATCCTTCCTTCCAGACTCTTCAGCTAGACAGTTCCTGTCTGGAATCAGCTCCTCCTGTCTCACTAACAAGGGCATCTGCCAACTTCTCAAGATCAGATTTAAGGCACTTTAAGGTACTCATATTTCTTTTCATTTACACCCCTGTTCTTTGATTTGAAGGAAGTTTTGCACCCTGTCCATCTCCCTGGTATGATATCAGCCCCTAAGCTGGTCCCAGCATATTCTTCCCAAGCCTCCATCCAGACCAGCTGGCCTGTCATTCATCTGTGCAATGCAGGGCTTGCCCATTTGAAGAGTCTTCTCAGCATTTCCCTTGATTCCTCTTCCCTCCAACCCTCAGGGGACTCAAAGGGCATCTCCCACTTTTAGCATCTCTTTCAGCATTCAGGTAGCAGCTCCCCTTCAGCCAGTGGTTTGCAACCCCTCTGGCTCACCTGGCTGTTTTCTACCTTCAGCAGACCCAGCACACCTGGTTCCCATGCTCTGGGCATGTGGCAGTGCATCCCCAGCCCTTCCCACCTCCCAGTGCCACTGCCAACCACTTCCCTCCTCACCACTTGTGTGGGGAGAAACAGCAACCATGGAACAGAGAGGCAGAGAGACACAGCAGCCTGTGCTCCTGCTGCAGGAATGGGACAGAGTCCTCTGCTAAAGGAGACAGGTGTTATGGAGCTGGCTGCAATGCCAGATTTGCCTGGCTCGTTTATCAGCTCATCTAATCTCAGGGAGGAAGCAGAGCTCTGCCAAGGCCAAGGATGCCCAAGGAGGGAGGAGGCAGTAACTGCACCCACCATCAGCTCCTTCCCTGACAGGGTCTGTTGTCCCCCACCAAGATCAGCAGTAGGTTGGAGCACAAGAGGAGCTCGTGGCCACACACAGACATGGCACGTGCCCCTTTCCCACCACAAACAAGAGCAGCCAGGCCACAAGGGAGCGAGCCTGATCACAGAGGGGACAGCTCAGCAGAACCAACCACTGGAGTGATGAAACTGTCCCAGCACCTCTGGCAGACAGTCTAGCAGAGATGGACCAGAGGAGTGCAGCAGGCAGGCACAGCTCTACATCATGTACCCTCCCAGAGCTTCTCAGCCACACCATCCCCCTGGGAGTCTGGCTACTGATATGAAATTACACACCTCTGTCTCACCTCTTTACCACCACATCCTGAGCTTCACCCCTTAATGGCTTCCATCAGTGGTGATATTATGCATATTGCAGCATCCAGCTGCCCCCCACAATCACCCAGCTTTTCCCTTCCAGGCTCTCTTACAAAACCCCTCAGGCAGTATTTTTGAAATAAACTATCTTTCACAGTGTTTCCAAGTCTTGCCCTTTGCATCTCCAAGCAGACCCAGGTCTGGGTCACACAGATCCATTTTCTTTGCCTGGGGAGATGATTTTCCCTGGGAGAGGTGAACATGAGCTTCAAACCTCTGCGGAAGCCACCATTCAGGCAATGTCCTGCTTTCTCCAAAATCAATATCAGAACTTCCCTGACACCAGATGGACCAAGACATGGCACTGTGCCAAAGCACAATTCCCCAGCCAGAATTTAATTCATTAGATTTCTGCTTCTCTGTCATTCAGAAGAGCTGCTCTCAGTTACTGCCCTACAAGGTTCCCTGTTATTTGCTATTAACTGTTTAAAGCAACTGTGACAACTCAGGAAGAGGGTGATCCTCATTTTTTTTAGTACATATAACCTGACCATAAGGTGTTTATTGGATTAAACTGGGAGATCATGTTAACCAGTGATTGAATTACTGATAACTAGAAGGTCCTGTAATAAAGACAAGACCATTCCTGGGTTCCAAACACGACACATAGCATCATTCACACTAAAACATCTGCCAACTTTGGGAATCACACGGTGCACTCCACTGAAAATGCAGCCAGGTCTGAAACTGTATCTGCTCTCTTTTTTTGGAGTACAGAACAATAAGGCTTACTGCAAAAAAGTCATACTCCAGCTGATTGAAACCACAGGGGGATTTCAAAGAGGCAAAATACAATTACTGGTGCTGGAATTAAGCCAGTTGGGGCTAATATACTAATCTTCCAGAAGCACTAAGAGAGGTTATTATCTGAGACACTGAGACAAGTCCACACACACAAAAGAGATCACAGTCAAAAGAGAGACCCAAAGTAGCAAAGTGCTTAGGCCACATTATGGTTGAATTTGCTTGAGGTACAGACTGGGCACCAAGGACTACTGTTCCCAAATATCCTCATACCTTATCCCAGCTCAGCACAGAGACTGCAACGAAGGCAGAATAAGCCATCCTCACCCAAACACAGTCAGAGACAGCTGCACCAGAGTAACACCCTGCCCTGAAACCCTCTGTCACAGGTCAGCCTTTGCCAGCAATGTCTTCACAGAGCTGGCTGGTCCCAAGATAGATCACCCCTGTCCCTGTACACTAAACCAGGGCATAAACAAGAGGCATCCCAGGAGCTGAGCTAGGGCAGGAGGCTGCTCAGCACTAAGCTGCTTATGGAGACAGTCTTTACCAGGTGCTTCATTTCATTAATGATTGGCTTGAAGATGGTATTAAGAACTGCAGATCTGCTGTCAGTCTGGATGAAGAGGCAGTAGATTTCAGTAAGGCTGAGAGATACCAGGATCTCTCTTGCCAGAGGCAAGTAATTCATCATGGAAAGAAGTGAATCTCACTATCAGATAGATGGAACATATTTTATTCCATTATCTAGTCAGAAAACTTACTTGAATATAGTCTTTCTAAAAGTCTGTCCCACTATCCCTCATCCTAACTCCCTTGGGAATCCCTTCTGCTAATTGCTATGAATAATTAAAAGATTACAATTTCCTCCCCCATCCCACAAAGCACCACATGCTGTCCTAGGAAATCACCAATCTAAAAAACTAGATTGGATAGCTCCCAGTACAGTCATCCCTTGGTCTTCAACCACCTTGGAGTTAGAAGAGCAGTCCCTGGCTGTAATGAAGTGAGATTCATGCCAGCCCAGTGTAACACTGGGAAATGGGATGGTGCACTCCAACCCTTGAGCCCTCAGCTGTTGGGCAGGGCAGGAGAGGGACCAAGTGCCCTCAAGCACGAGGCATTCATGGTCTTGTGTCCATTTTCAGGAGCCCACACTTCCCAGCAATTCATGATTAGGCTGCCTCACACTCGAGCCTTCACTGGAAGAGAGGAACATGTGGGGCACTGCATCCTGACTGAGCCAAAGGAGAACACTGAGAGCTGCAAACAGGGAGAACTCCAGGGTGGATACACCACCATGCACCTTCACCAAAAACAAGGGATTCAAAGAGGCCTACAACCCTATTGACTCCCATCTTCTCGCCCTAAAGCTGGATGAGATGTTTTACCTGCTGCCAAGGACATCTGTGTAACAGTAGGAAACACAGGGGACTGGAAGCCTCCCCACAAAACAAGATGGAGAAATGGGAAGAAAGGAAAGGAGGAGAGGAAGGGCCAGATGCAAGACCCTGCAGGTCCACTGAGTTAATCTGTGGCTCAGGCCAATTTTCTACCGAAGGTGAAGCAAAGCAGCCAAATCCAAACTACAACAAAAGCTTCTGAGTTCCCTGGAAGCCTGGAGGAATGCAGAAGTAATAAGTTCACAGCTCCACTGACTTGTTTTTAGAAGCCAGTACAAATCACACACTGCTTCTTTCCACAAGGATATAGCATCCACATTCCCACAAGACCCCTAATCCATCTCCTCCACGTGTGGCTCCACTGGGTAGCAGCTGTGCATGGGGTGACACACATGCAAATGCACACTTCTGTGCACCCTCAGACAGAATGAGACAAATGTCAGGGCCCTTCCAAAGGTTACTGCTCACTGATGTCAATATAGAATCACTCTTCTGTAACATAAATCAGCAAAAGCACATTATTCAGGAGAACCAGAGCCCTAGTCTGAGCTGTGCTCTTCCACTGGGAGTTTGTTCTCACTTTTAATGGACTAACAGGTGGCCCTAGAAATGCTTTCTATAAATATTTTTAAAGGATGTTTTTTGTGCGCTTAACAAAAAAAAAAAAAAGGCAGCAGCTGCAGATTGTTATTGCTTTTTAGCTCTTGCAGCCTTGAAGTCACACAAAGGCAGGGCAGTCTCCCCACCCAGAGTTCAGATAGACATAAAAAAAGGAGAGATGGAGATAACTCATACAGCTTTTGAATAGCAGGAGATATGGTCTATCTGCAAGATCCTGTACCTGGACCAGGTTCAGGACCAATATCTTTGTGTAAGGACAAAAAGAAGCCAGCACAGGTCTCCTTTCATAGCAGGTAATTTTCTCTCTTAAGGAGTACAACAATCCTGTTCTGTGCCTTGATTGATGCAGTGTTTCCAGTGTGTGCCTGGGACAGAGCTACCAACTATGCTGAGCTACACTTCACTGAATGAAATCTCACATAAGGAAAACTTACACTATAAACTTTTTTTCCTTAAACAGCAGCTGTTTAAAACTGTTTAATGGGTTTATACGTTGAAAACAACCTAACAGATGTCATCATACAGATCCACAACGTATCACATGGCATCTGTCACACATGCAGCATGTAAGTTCCATCGGTTGGGTGCATCTCTCATACAGAGGCTTTGCATGACAGGAGAAGACTGCCCAATTTAGGGATGCTATTACAATATCCTTTATTGTAAAATGACACACGGCAGGTTTCTAATTAAATTTTAAGTAGAAATGTGCTCCCAGCTCTTGAATAATTCAAACTGTTCTATTAACCAAGGTTCTGAAATGCCATTGAGACATGAGCTCTGGACACAGCAACTGTCAGGGGAAGAAACAGCGCTTGGAAGCAGAGCAGTGGTTAGCTGGGCAGCGGATAGGGCCGGGTATGCATAAAGGACAGCTGAAAGAGCACATCTGCTCCTGGAGGAAAGAACTGCAGGCGAGAACGGAAGGAGAGAGCGGCGTGTTCCGCATGCAAATGGGGCGAGGCACGTGCAGGAGGCAAGGCTGGGTTCAGCAGCAGCCATCTCTCCCTCAATGCACAAGCACACGCTGTTCTCCAAGTCACGTCCCGATCTGTGAGGACACGCAGGTGCCTGCTGGCACACCAAGAAAAGCGGCGCTGAGCGCTGCCAGCGCGCGGGAGCAGCTGAGCCACAGCGCGTCCCAGGGATACACGGCAGGAACGGCGCCATCCCATAAACGGTGCCTTCCCAATGGCACATCCCAAAAACGGTGCCTTCCCAACAGTGCAATCCCAAAAACAGTGCCATCCCAACAGTGCCATCCCAACAGCACATCCCAAAAAACAGTACCTTCCCAACAGGGCCATCCCAATGACACATCCCAAAAATGGTGCCTTCCCAACAGCACCATCCCAAACAGCACCATCCCAAAAACAGCGCTGTTCCAACAATGGCACTATTCCAATGGCCCTGTCCCAACAACAGCCCCATCCTAACAGCGCCATCCTAATAACAGCCCCATCCCAAGAGCCACATCCCAACGGATCCATCCCAACAATGGCCCCATCCCAACAGCAGCCCCCTCCATCCCCAGCACCACTGCATGGCACAGCTGCCCCACAGCCAGGCCTGCAAGAGCCCCAGGGCAGCCAGAGCACAGCCAGACAGGTTTAGCAGCCCTGTCAGTGAGCAAAGGGCTTTGGAGACCTAAGCTGGCCTGGCCCTTGCCCCACATCGTGTGCGCTGTGCCCTAGTGGGCAACCCAAGCCACAGCTCTGCAGCTCTCAGCCCTGTGTGAGCACAGGTGTTTTTTAAGGTCACAGAAACAGGAGAGGAGACAAAACAAGACTTGTGCTTTCTAATTGCAGACCTCAGTCAGATGTGCTGAGAGCGATACTGCATAAGGGAGGAGGGATAAGGCTGAAGCCTGGCCCTTGGGTAACACTTAATACATGCCCCACATGACACTTAAGAGCAGGAGCATGTGAAATAATCTCCTAAGCTACTGGAAACCCTGCAATGCACCTCCTCCTTCCTGCCATCCCTCTCTCTGAGAGCATCTCAAAGCCAATGAGGGGTATGGGGAGAGACTACTGAGGGGACTCGGTGGTCTCAGAAAAACACTCCAGAGAGGAAAGCAAACTCAAATGCCAATGAAACCCATTTTGGTCATGACCTCTCAGGAAGTAGCAGGACAGGATAGGCAAAAGACAGCCACCCAAGGGACAAAACCTGCTATTTTCTCTTGGACCAAATCCCCACTGAAGTCACAGAGTGAGGAATCCAGAATTTGACCCAGGGAACTCAGTTCTGACTCAAATGCTAAGATGGCCTTGAGCTCAGTCGGGCTCTTGAGACCTTAAAGTTGTGCTTAATAGACAGCAACAGAAAAAAACAAGAGAGAAGAGAGCATAAAGGGGAGAAAGTGAAAGGAGGGCATGAGGCAATGGGAAACTAGATGGAGACAGTGCTTTTCCCAGCTCATAGCAGCTCGGGAATAAAAAGCTCAGCTGTAACTTGGTTTCTAAAGCCTGTGCTTGCTCAGAGTTCATTGGGGACACATCAGGCACTGAGGTGAGAAAACAGAGCTGACATTTAATCTCAGGCCCTCTTAGCAAGAGTTGTGTCGAAGCAGGAAGATAGATCCCTACATCCTTCCACTTCCCCAGAGTCCTTGCAGAGTGGGAGGAAGAATGGGGTAAAAAGAACTTACCTGTTGCTGGTCCCAAGTCCAGGCTGGAGTCGTTGAGCTCTCCCCCATCTTCCCAGAAGTACTGTGGAGGCTGCAAGATCTTGGACTCCTCATTCTCCTCACTGGCAAAGCCTGACCCTGGAGCAGCATGCAGGGAGCCAGGGGCAAGATCTGGCTCTGCAGCCTCTGGTCGGGTTTGCTCGTGGGAATTCATGGCCTCCAGGTGGGACATCATAGCAAATTCCAGCAGGGAGGTTGACGTGAGGCCATCGGCAGTTGGGTCCTCCGAGGAGGCGAGGCAGAGGCACAAGGTCCCTGTATGATGACAGAAAACACACATCAGAGAGAGGAATGGCACCCACTGGGCTTGCCTTCCCCTTGGAGCCTATTCCTGCCAAGCCAACCTGCCCTGGAGATGGGCTGTGCTCTCAGCTGAAGAGGAAAATTAGGGTATTTTGGGAAACATCCACAAGCATGCAGAGTGGCATTCACATCCAGGAGGAGTCAGTGCCAAGCAATCATCCAGCGTGGGGCCCCTCTTTCTGGGGTGATGATTCACCCTCTCTGAGGTGTTTTTGCCTCTGTTAAAGGATGAGGTGCCTTGTTAATCACAGAGAGGAGGTGGAATGTCATATAGTTCAGCCATGAAACTCTGGCCTTGTGAAAGCAATGAAGTTTCTATCAGACTGTCCTGATCTACAGCTGTATTATATGCAGGGAGGCTGATTCAAACCAATATTATTTACAACCAGTATTAATCATGTTTTAAATCTGTAGGGTGAAAATCTGTTTTTTGGTTTGAACTTCAGTGCAGTCACATTGTAGGTTTCCATAAGGAAGGGCTGACAGTTACAGGTAACAATCATATTGCGACAACAGCAAACATCCTCCTAACACTAAGCAGGAGAGAAAGCTGCATTTTGCACTTTTCTATCATTATTATTTCCATTTTAACTATTAGAAGGATTGACTGACACTTCTTGATTCCTAGATGAGACTTTAATTGTGATTTGTGTCAAGGTACATTCACATGCATATTGAACTCCAATCAAAATGCAAGAAAACAGCACCTGGGATTTGGCTTTATTCAGCTACTAAATACTATTATAAATATGGAGGCATAAGGAAAAAATAAAATTACCAAAAGCTGTTTTATATTTAAAACAGTTTTGTTAAGCAAGTGAAGTAACTAATTTGGGTGAACTGAACCATTTCTATCATTCAGCACATCAAAACTAAAAGAACTCATCCTCTCACAGCTGATTTTTATTCATAGATTAGAAGGAAAAAGGACAAGTTTTCTTGTCAGACTCAGTTCCTCAATTGTTAATGAAGTAGTCACTGAACTGAACTAATTGAATAAGCTGAAATGAAGACTAATTTGGTATTTTTCTTTGATAACTGATTTTCTAGACAACAGAAATGCAGCAGCTCTAATCCATCTGGACTTCAGTCAAACATCTGATACAGTGCCTCATGAGGAATAACAAGAGACACAAGAAAAAACACCTATTAGCAGGAAAACTGTAAGGCATTGGCTGTACAAAAAAATTACAGAGGCTTGTGCTGGAGGGAGGCTACTAGTGAAATTCCTCATGGTTTGTCTTTGGATCTGCTGTTCTATTACATTTTCCTAAGTGACCTTGCAACAAAAAATAGGAAGGTGATAATGAAATTAGCCAAGGACACAAAGCAAGGAGACATCCTCGCTGCACAGAAAAACCACAGGTACAGCTAGGTGATCTTGAGAATGGGAATAACAGAAATATTATGAAAAGAAATAACATAAAGTGATAAGACCCCTTGAGAACTAGCACAAAACATTTCTGATACAAGCTGGGAAAACATCCATCAGAAATGTCTTAAGAGGAGAAACTCCTGTATTAGGAACAGCTCTGAGATATCACTGGAATGCAGATGTGAAAATCCTTGCAGAGTAGTGAAGTATTAGAAGCAGAGATTTTACAAAGCACTGCTGAGACATCACCTGGGAGCTGCACACAGATCTGGATGCACAAGGCCTGAAATGATTTAAGCAGAGCTGAACTGCCTTCAGGCAAGGGCACAGACAAGGCAACCTCCTGATGTTGCTACCCAGCACTGTGCCCTACAGCTCCACATCCCAGGAGCACAAATCCAAACCAGGACAAGTGCTGCGATGAGCTGTGGGGCAATGGCACATGGGCTGGCCCTGGAGTGATCATTTTAGACACTGGCAAGTTGGCACAGAAAATTTGGGAGTCACTGCTCACCTGACAGCAGATTACCAAACCTGTCCTGGGAAAACTGGAAGCCAGAAATGCAATTTTTAATCTTCTGCCTGCTCTGACCCTCTCCACCTTCCTCCACTATTCTCTGAACTCATCAAAATCAAATATTGGCTACCCTTTTGCATGCACACTTGGGCCAGGCTTCAGCATTTCTCAATCTTGTTTGTTTTGCCCTATTGATCCAAGGCAAGATCAGCTGAGGCCTGAGCAGCAACAAAAAGGGACTGGCAAAAGAGGCAGAATATCAAAGGAGAAGGAAGCCACTGCAGCATCACAGAGCCAACCAAAACACCTCAGGGCATCTCTAGGGATGTGCCAGCTCCTGAGCCATGCAGGAACAGTGAATTCCACAGCTGGAATGAAGAGCCTGCACACCCTCTGCATGTGAGCACAGACCCAGGACAGCCCTGTGCTGGTTCTGGGGTGCTCAGCAGGCTCCAGTGTGAGCTCCCCCAGCTGACAGAGAGCACCTGCATCCCTGATGAAGCACCAGAGAGAGCACTTGTCTTGAGGAGCTTGCAGCTTAAGCAAACATGACAGAGAGCAGCAAGGAAGAGGAAAGAAACATTATTCTCAAAGCTATCCAGCAAAGGAGAGCAGGATAGGAAGAGACCATGGCAGGCCCAAGGCCACATGGAATATTTGGTTTATATGTGACTGCAAATGACTGCCTGGATCCTGAGCAAGCTCTTTATCCACCCCAATGCCTCAGTTTCCCCTGACTCCCATTCGCAGAGACGTGGCTGATGTGGCACCTCAGCTTTCCAGCCACACAACAAAGCACATCCTGGGTCTCCCCAGCAGCAAGGCAAAGTCTCAAAATGCACCTCTGTGCCAGCATCTACACCGCCTCAAACCTCTTTTCCACCAGCTACACTCTGTTAGGGCTGCCTACAGAGCTCAGCCAGAGCCCACCCCACCCCTTCTACAACACACATCTCATGGCAGGTGAACCTGGTAATCCAGAGAGCTATTTCCATCCATGTGGGAAGCTCAGATGCTGGGAATTTGTTTACCCTCCTTTAACTCTGAAGTGTTTACTCAGTTAAAACCCCCTAAGCTGCATTATCTGGTTTACTGGGCTGCTTTCCTCAGCCCAAGATAAAACTACACCACCTCATCCCTAGGAATGAGTCATGCCCAGCCTGAGCAAGACAGGTGTCTTGTCCCTGGGCTGGATGTGAGTAACACTTTGGGGTCAGATCTGCAGGCACGGGATGCAGAGACTGGTCTGGGGGAACCCTCTGTGCCAGCACCAGCCTGAATGCCCCAGGGCTTAAAGAGCCACCACACCAGGGTACAAATCAGTACCTCTCCAGACACCATCCTGACACCACTTCATTCATGCCTTCTGCACAGGCAGCAAAAACCCAAAGGCTTGGGGAGCCAAAAAGCAGCACGAAGATTTGCCATCTTCCCCCTCTCTTTCAAGCCTCTCATAAAGGAGCTCCACGCAGCTGTCAACTCCAAGGCAAAGAAAGAATCAAAGCATGAGCTGAGCTGGGAGGCAGGGGAGCACAGCTGAGAAAGGAAATCTAATGCCCAAGACCTCAGTTGCAGGCCATTTTCCTCCCAGGACGGGTAACAGGGATTAGACAACTTCTACCAGCCATCAGCCTCCCAATTTTGTATTCTAAAACACAGATGAAGTGATAGGAATAAAGAAACAAATGAATAAAGACCTGCAACTGTAGATGGGAGGGAGCAGGGAACGGAGCCAGGGCTCACCAGCTGCTTCAATGGGGCGTTTGTCTCTCATTTCTATTTTTGCGGCACCTCTGCGTAACCTGGAGGAGACGAGGCTCTGCATGCTAAAAAGGGCAGGCAGCCTTCGGGGAAACAGCAGGGCTTAGAGCACGGGAGGGAAAACCCTCCCAGAGCAGACAGAGGAGGGGCCAGAAAGCAGAGAAAGTGGGAGAGGTAGACTGAGAGGGGAGAGGGAACAAAGGCGGGATGGGATGGGAGCTCCTGCGCTGGCTGCGCGCTGTCCTGCCGCCAGCACCCACAGAGGTGATGCTGGAGCCATTGCAGAAGGTGTTTCACCTCTGTGAGGATCAGAGTGGGGCAATTCCAACAGCAGGGAATAATGCTGCAGTGCTGCCTTTCTGAGGCCACTGAAGAAAAGCCAGCCAGGAGGATACAGATGAAAAGAGTTTGCTAGTGCTGACCCCATGACCGCTCAGAAAACAGCTCTGAGTCAAAGTGGTGAAGCTCGCTCTGTTCAGCTCAGCAGAGGATTCACAACAGCCCCAGACAAGGAGATGAGGGAGTTTCGCTCAACAACAGAAAAAAAAAAATCTGAAGAAAGGCTATCTGCCATCTTTCTCACAAAGTGCTGTGAACAAAAGCAGTTTCACAATTCTACATAATTCTAAAAGAACCCCAAAGTGCTTTCTACATTGGCTGACCAAAAATCACTTCATTGCTTTGCCACAAAGCAAGTCACCTCTCCATGGGACAGGGCAGCTATTTAAAAGCTCCCAATTGGCCTATTGAACAGGACTAGAAATTAAAGAGGAAATAAGTCAATTTTGTGTCCAGCTGAAATGAGAATAGGGATTTGGGGAGATGAAATGGAATCTAGCTGTTGAAGCTGTGACTATGTTAAACAGCCTTTAAAATTTTTTTGCTTTTTAATTAGTAACAAGCAAACCTCAATTTCTCTCCAAGGAAACACACAATCATCCCTTAAGATGTCACCACCTCAGCTTGATCTCTAGAGGGGCTGGAGTGCTCATCAGTTTACCCAACAGAAGGTTGGTTTACCTCTCCTTCCTGAGTGTTGTGGCTACACCACAGTGCCAAGCAGGCAGGATCAGCCTGATGAAGAGAAGAACATTTGCCTGGGGCACACTCTGACTTACCTGTCACCACCAACTGGCAGAGCCAAGCACACTTGCACAGGGAAGGAGGTCAGAGCATGGTGGCACTGCCAAGGAAGCAGCCACAAGAATGTCCACCTGGCCCTGCTACCGTTGACCTTCCTTCCAAGCCCACCCCACAGCCAGGAGCTACCCAACAATGTTACTTCCTAGGAGAGCTGGG